CAGATTCCAGCCAGGCAGGAGGCAAGAGGAAGCTGCCGGATCAAGGTTGATGAGGGAGGGGTAAATGTTGTCAGATTGAAGAAAAAATTCACCTGGAGAGTTTTCTTGACTAATAGAATGAATTCTGTTGGTTGGAGCTTAGACTTTCCGACTTTCAATTTTAAGGAGTGTGTGCTATACAGAATAATAAAACGATTGTTAATTTGGCATCAATATTATCACATCTGTTAATTAATATTAAATTCCTATTTTTGTTTGCACTGCTAACCTATTTTGTATTCTGGTGCCCGGTCACGCACAGCATTTTAATATTATTTATTATGCTTACCCCAGTTGCTTTAATGATAGTATCTCTCCTCTCCATATCTAATGTACATTGTCAGCAAATCGGCTTTTGTGCCTCTTTTGGTAAAGCTATTCAAATTCAAACTAAATGTAAAATTCAAATGTTGGTGTCTTCCTTCTCGTTTCTTAAGGACCTTGCTTATCGTTTCCAGGTCTCTTGCTTTATGGTCGACAATGTGTGGACTTTCAGAGGAAATGGAGAGAAAAAACCCTGAATACTCTCTATAGTTTATGCTCATTAGAAGACCTCAAGCACACAAATCTGCAGCCAGAGAAGAGATGTGGTTCAAGGAGAAAGTTGGAGGTAAGAGTAATGAAGGCATAATTGAATTTACACAAGCCCACACACTGTCGCCTCTCCCACTGCCCTCCATTCCCTTCACCAGCTATCTAAGCACACAGTTAATGCAAGTGTAGCTCCCCGGCGCTGTATTGAATTGCCAGCAATAAACAGTAATCAGCTCTAGTCATATGTGTGCACTACATCAACTGAGAGATTAAAACATTGACGGATGGAGACAGCACCTCTGGCTAAAATCAATAGATGCTTACATACACAGCTGGTATGAAGCTAATAACGAATAATGCTACATTGATCGCCAGGCTGAGGTGCAGTCCTTGAGTTACAGATAAAGGGCTGCAGCAAATAATAGAGTGCATGATTACCTCAGAGTGTGTGGTGGCAGGGGTGTGTGTTTTTGTGTGTGTTACTCACCCATAAGTGGTGTTGCTGGCTCTCTTACTGGCTGCCCTGGAGCGGCTGGACTTCAACTCTCCACTCATGCTTATGTCTGCACGGAAGAGAAAGCAATTAACTTTGTACTGATACAGCAAAGAGCATCAAAACACGATATAGCAGGGGTACAACACATAGAGAATTAATTCAGATGACTAACTAACCTATAAACCCTTCACATTGTCTGCTCATGTATATCCAACACCCGAGTTTGCTCTTTATTTGAACAAAATGAACCTAAACGGTTGTGTTTGCTGTCAACCTTTGACATCATAATGACTAAAGGGCCGGCTAAGAACGACAGTGGCTGTTTTTCACATCCATCTATCATCCATCACTCATTGTTAATAGCTCCTGCCACTCCGAGCCAGCTGTTCACCTCAATTATTGTCCCTCATCTGCAAGTCTACATCAGAACCCTGGTGCAGCTTTAGTTTGTCTAAAAACGTCAAACCCCATATCTCTTTGTCTGCGTAGGTCTCTCCTGCAAAAATCTCTGTCTAAATGCGGAAATTCTGTTCAACTGTATTTATTTATGTATATAGAGCCTTATGTGCAAAGGTGCTTAACAAAACCACAACATTACAATAATACAATGACCAACAACACAATGAAAATATATCAAAACACCAAACATTGCACAGTAAAAGATGGTAGCCAAATGATTGAAATATGTTTTTAAGACTATTAAGGTTAGAGAATGGCAATATAAAAACAAATGTTTTAATATTTAGTTAAAAGAGGTATTTACAGACGCCTTCAGCTTTTCTGGCAGGCTAATCTAGAGGCGATGATCAAAGGCACTTAGATCTGCCTCCCCGTATGTCTTTGTTTTTACCCTGGGAATAATTAGAAGGCCAGTGCCACTGACCACAAGCCGTGTTGATTACAGGATATGCCAACAGCTCACTGCTCACGGTGATCGTGCCTCAGTAGAAAATTCCAAAGGTGAGTGGAAAAGTGAAAAAAAAAGTAAAAGGAGGCGAGGCGAGGAGGCCGGTCAGACATGGACAGATGGGTGGTGAATGGACTGTGACTGGGCCAGCTGCACATACACTCACACAGCGTGACTGTCAAATGGCTGGAAGCTACAATTAATTAAGTATGGGTTTGAATGTGCGAAAATAAATTTAGACACGTGTATGCGCCTTTACCCCTCACAGCAGAGATAATTTTCTGACAGTTTTAGTCAAACAGTGACCTGCTGGATGACGTCTCTGCAGCCAACTCTGCTGGTGAGGAGCTGGCCCTGCTGCTCACACTTTAAATCATCAATGCCTGAGCTGTGCAAACATGCACACATTTATATATACAGTCTATGGTGCACACCAAGAACACTACTACTGTGATGTACATCTGAGGAATATAAACAAATGCAAATTAAAGACATGATATATGCCTAAAAACACATTAAAGTGTCGATATGTATGGGCAGTAATACTGGCATATCAAAATAAGTAAAAATTGTATTTTAACCATTTCAGAAAGTTGCAATGCAGACCATAAAATGCCTCAATGTACTATATGGCTTATCATACTATTACTGTAAAAATCACTGATTTCATATCTGGCCAACTGCACTAGATAAGCCAAGCTTTTCATGCACCATTGTAATATTTCCTGTGACAGTATACCTCCTCCACTATGATGATAAAACTTGTACACTGAAGAAAAATAATGTGTTACAGAAACACAACTTTAAAAACACACTGGACAGGTCCTCATTTTCACAGTTTGGGGCTGAAATGATTGTATGGCAGACGGAAACAAAAACTGAGTTTTATAATGTGTTGCTGAGAAACATGAGGACTGTATGATTGACTGCACGAAGAAGCCATTACACAGGAAGAGGGGAGGAAGCCGCTGAGCACAGTGGTCTCGCTCTGCGGGAGCAAAACCTCAGGAGGTAATCAAGCTGGTATTTGGTAAACAAAATCCACAATCAGCCTCTCCAGCAAAGACTCACACAGCACCGACGCACTCACCTGAACAACATATATAAGCCTATATTTGGGTTACATTTACAAATTACAGCCTTTACATTGAAAATGATTTGCTGTTCGTATTTTAAAAACAGATGAAATGTTTTAATTGAAATAATAGCACATCGATGATGACTTTACTGCGGAATTTGTGTATTGATTCTATTTTGCTACTAACGAACAAAGTTTAGGTTGTTCGAGTAAAGTTTTAAAGATATCTGCTCTTTTGTTTCTCATATGTGTTTTTCTTTATTATTCTTATAACGTTATTTCATTATCATTTTAACCTTATTAGAATTTTTTATAGGTAAAAATGGTGGGGGAGGAAAACATTTGACATTAACAAAAAAGTAAAATCAAACAAATCAAATGTTGTTAAACAGCATTTTACAAATGTTACATACCGTAGTATTTAGAGAACAAATTCCAGCTTTTGGGAAGATTGTTTTTGGATACATTAAAGACACTTTTCTTGAATACATTGTATATCAAACAATGCCTGTACGCTGAAAGTATCATTATCATGGGTGGCATTTCAGAATAACATGGCATGGAAAGTGTTTATTCTGACTAAAGGTCAACTGAATCAGGAACAAGCCCAGGAGAGTCCTGAACAGGATCATACAGAAATCAAACAGGTATGGCATACTAGTCAGCATGTTTATAAAATAGGAGCAAAGGGCACCAGAGGACACATCAAGGTCACACACGAACAGCCACAATGAAAGCTTCAGCCTCCGCTTCAACGGATGTGCGGCTCAGTGCCAGACTGTCACTTCATACCGAGGCAGAGTGAGACCACACTACCTCGAAACAAAATGACACAGTAACATCTTTTTTGTTTTTTTTCAAAATTGTTCTGAATCTCCAGAGGAGCAGGAGGCTGGACAACCTTTGAAGACCACAGTCAGTCAGCACCCGCCCTGCCGCTGAAGTGTCCTTGAACTATTACTGTTATTTATTCTTCTCTGAGTCATGTATGCCACAGTAAATCTCAAGAGCAAACATTTATACAAATACTTTGCTCAAACATTTTAATGGGGGTAATTCTTGTACAAACTGTTTTTGACAAGCAGCCTCATTTTTTTTGCAAATTATGCACACACACGCATTATTTTATTTTTTTCAAAATGTCCCTCCTTATGCCATTAAGGATAAAGAAACCTAATTTCACCTGAAACCTGCACATACACACACACACACAAAGAAAATGGTTATTCTCATAGGAAGATGATCATAAACTACTGCATGCTCTTTTAATCTGTACACTTTGAAGTCACTGATGTGTGGGAGATGGGATAATAACACCATCAGATAAAAACATCGCTCAATTTTCCATCTTCTCTAATCAGTGCCATCCTTCCAATTTTACAATTTTCCATGCAATGGGTTGAACTGCATCCTTAATTTTTAAAGATTCTTTCAGTTAATCTCTTAAATCACACAAATGATTTCAGAGCAGAACACAAACACACGAGTGTGGATGACTGACACCAATGTTTTCAGAGGCGTCTCAATCTAGGTAAAAGATATTTTTGTAACGCTGCTCATACTAATGTCAAACATTCCACCATAAATAAGTACTAATTTCACTGGCATTGGCATATATAAAAAACTATTTCATACCGAGGGGAAAAATTAAGTTGCTTGTTTCTTTTCTGATTTGCATTTAAAAGAAAACCAGATATATCTTCCTTTATTTCTGCCAGTTTTATCACTGTTACCGATTAAAAATATTGCCTGATCCGTTTGAACATCTTAGCTCAGAATACAGCTGGCAAGATGAAACAATATTTGCAATAAAGCAACAAAGATTACTTCATATATATTTCCAAATGAGTTTGTTCCATTGTTCAAATATGTGACAGGCTGTTGTCAATGAATAAGATAATCTGTATGGGATGCTGCAGACTTTCTATTTACATCCTCCAAAGCATCTGACTGATATTTGAAAAATAAGGCCCCAATATCCCCTTACTCCTAATTTTCACTTCAATAGGACAGCTTGTAGCCCTCACTTGCCTCAAAGTTTAATATTCAGGCCACAGTCTTGAACCATTCATTCATATGAAGAGAGGGTAGTTTGTCATACAAGGGTGTAAAAGCCACGCATGCATGCTTCTTGTTAAAAGGCTTCACACTCCGTCATCCTTTCCATTTCCTGCACTGCAAGTGACCTCAGGTCAGACTTAGAGCCAAGTGGCAACCATGAGAGTTACTGCTCTCAGGGCTAAATGGAGAGTAATCACATCACTTTCAATAGAAGACCCACAGATAAATATGCCAGGGCATATGGAAAAGATAGTGTAGTGTGATGTGAATTGATGCACATGTTGAGATCAGAGGTGGAAGCCAGAAAGAAAATGTTACACACAAAAAAGGAGGTGAATGAAAGCTTGTGCATTATGTGATCAGAGACCCTGAATACAGTTTCTCAAATCACGGCAAACAACAAAGACTGCCTATGAGTTGCACTTGTATTGAAGAGTCTTTAAGCCTGTATTATCTAAATACTTCACTTCCCCGACAGACCAGTACAGTTTCGGAACCAGTGTGGACGTTTTTAGCAAATGTAGCAGCTCAAATGATTAAATGTTCTCTAAAAAAGAAGATGCACTATTTTTGAATGCTGAATAAAAAGCACTTAAAAGTCCACCATTTAACACAATTATGACTTCTGACATTTTGTTTCATGAGCCTTATGCCCTGTAGAGCTACTGCTGACCTTGCCCATGAGAGAGAAAGGTTGATTTGATCACATTTACCTTCACAGTTTTGTGTCTAAAACATCTCTTATTGCATCACAATGTTTACATCTCAACATCAAACATCCCACACACTCTTTTCAAAACCACCCTCTGATTGGATCAATGTGTGGGTACAGAGAAAGCCAATGAAGTAAGCTCTGAGGCAGAAGTAAAAAAAACGGAACCTGGGATTCAGATTAGCAAACACCAGCTGATTTTATAAACAGATGGAAATGAAGATGGGAGGGGAGGACAAAGAATGAGAGGCAGAGAGGAATATGTTGTCTTTTAGAAACACAGTGCTGCATGCAAACATCCACTAACACTTGCACAAATACAGAAATGGGGATAACCCCCGTATACTCACATCTCGGGCTGAACAGGGTCATATCAGGGACACAAAACAACCAGGAAACAGAGAAGACAGGCTTTCTCTGCTTCTCTTTTGCAACTCTCCCTTTTTACGTCCTCACTCTTGCTGTGTCAGTCAGTGTATCTGTGTGTGTGTTCTGGCTGCCGTTTGGCTAACTGCTGATATACTACTGAGTCAGTGACAAACCAGCTAAAGAAGAACCAATGGGATGTACCAAATGGTTTCCTATGGCAGGGGTGGACAGGGGTGCATCGGGCTGTGCCATTAGCAGGAGAACTGGCAGGAGGATTGGATGAGTGTGCAGCTGGTTTCCCCTCAGCAACAGGAGCTTGGCTGGAGCTCAGGGCTTACAGATTCCAGCCAGGCAGGAGGCAAGAGGAAGCTGCCGGAGTGTGTGTGTGTGTGTGTGTGTGTGTGTGTGTGGTGTGTGTGTGTGTGTGTGTGTCTTAATAAACATGACAAAGAGAAGGAACCTGAAGACAAAGCTGTGCACTTAACCTTCACTGTGTTTAGAATACACTCATATAAGTGAACACACATTTAGTGAAATGGAGGAATAAATTGATTTGCAGTGTTTTTAGAGGACCATTTGGATTTGAATTTTTGGAAATAAAGGCATACACACTGAGTACATTAGCACACATCCTATGTGATTATGTAAAACAGGAAGAAAAGGGATTATCGCCAAGTACAACAATCGCTGGCTCCCTGCAGGAAATCTGATGAACTAATAAGCAATTATGAGTTGAAAATACTCAGACAAACTTAATCTCCCAGCTAAACCTCAACCATGAGCTACATGTAAAGTAATTCATGCTTTTAATACATCTCCAGCAGTATCATTTTAATAACATATGGCAAGGTTATTTCCATCACTGATAGTGTGATAATATGAATACCACACCTGAAAACACAGCAGCTGAATCACTTTAAACATATTGCAAAGTGTGCATGCTGTCTAATCATTGTTCCACTTTTGAGAGAATACACCTGAGGGTATTTCATCTGGGCTCCTGAGGAGAGGCTTTCATATAGGTTTAATTGGCTTCTTTAGCAACCAACACAGAGTAAGACTGGCTGTAAGCCAAACTTCAATCTTGGTCAACTCTAAAATGATTATTACCTCTTTTCACACTGCACTTAACCCAGGAGCAATTGCATTATTAAACTGTTAACCCTTAGATAACTGTGCTCTCGGTCTTGTAACAAGGAGCTAAATTAGCCCATGGGCCATTGATCTATGAGTTGCAATAACACTGTGTCAGAAAAATATATCATGGCAAGCTACTGTTTCTGTTTCATCATATAATAAAAAGACATAAGGGATCTTAGTGCTGGTAATCAATTTGATTCAGCAATTATTTTTAAATATGCTTTTATATGTGTTACCATGTCAGTCAAAACCAAATCAAAATAGTTTAACGTTATAAGTGCATAATGAAAGCATGACATGTTTACAAAAATACTTTGGTTTTCAAAGACACAGGTTACAGAGGATGTTTGGGTGGTGATATTGATAAGATATGTAATGCCAGGAACAAGATCATGAACACAACATTTCCATGTTTTTTTAGCTGTGTCTAAATTCCGTAGGAAGCAATGAAACAAATGGAGAAGTTGAAAAACCATAACTACAATTTCACAAAATGTGTCTTCCCAGCAGTTAACATATTCTGTGAATATCTTACTTCAATAGCCAACTGTAGGCCTACCCCTCGTGTGGTGTTCGGTTCAAATTGACCCGATTTCCATTTTCAATGAATAAAAAAAAATATAAGGATATTTTTGTTCAACCTGAAACTTAATGGTGAAGGACATGTGGAATTGTTTTTATTTTTTTCCACTTATGAAAAAATGCCCACCCGCATTTATGTCCTTCATAAGAGGTTCGGGTCAATCTGACTCGGATACAATACCAGGACAGGCAGACAGAGAAAAACACACAGAAACACAGAAACTAAAGACACACACACACACACACACACACACACACACACACACACACACACACACACACACACACACACACACACACACACACACACACACACACACACAATTGTATGCATAGAGAAGCTGTTTGATCCTGTTTCCCCTTGATCTTTACCCTTTGTAGTGTGTACACAAAACTATCCTAGAACATTATAAACATTTTAGATCTTCCAGAAATGTATAAACATTTTACATTTTCTCACACTGTCCCCCTCGCACCTGCACGCCGGAGGAGGGACTAAACAGAGACATAACCTCAGTAGTAACAGTGTAGTGCAGAACTAAAATTATCTACCAACAAAATGGCCAAAAGGTATTCTGCTCAGAGCCTTGGAGCTAATAATGGATGAGAGTGAGTGGAGTGCATTAGAAAAAACATGGTGAAGTGAACAGAAGACATTTCTGAAGTGAGGATAATGGAGGTAAACTCAGAATTTGACAGCAAATTGGAAGATGAACCTGACTCAGAGCCAAGCTGCTGGAACACCCCCACTAGCTCAGCCGCTGAAGGACCCCCACCAGCCAAGCCGCAGAAGGACCCCACAGTCAGCTTCTGGCGAAGGACCCCGCAGCCAGCTGTGAGTCTGTGGACCTCAAAGGACCTCCAAGACACAGACGTACATGCAGCAACTGGCAACAACGTACATCCTGTTCTAACACACAAAGAAGTTATGTACATCATGTGTTTCCTAGACGACTTCCCCATTGATCACATGATGTTCTGCAGCGACACTTATCATATATTTTTCTGATATACTATATTTTATGGAATTAGGACTGTAATTTTTATTGCTTTGTGTTTATATTTCTCATGTCATTTATATGGATGTTTCGTTCGCTCCTATATTGTTCACAGCCAAATTTAGATTTTGGATGGTTGGGTTCTTGTGTTCCAATTACTGCGTAAAATTGCTTTATTCCTTCAGGGGCTTTGATATTATATGACAGATTAAAACTAATAAACATTAATGTTTCATGTTACATTTGTCCTAGAAAAGCATGAGCAAAATTAAACCTAGTTTTTATTACAGGTATTTTTTTTAACGGAGGACACTTCCATTGTAAAGACAATAGTATATACAGGACATTGTGCATGTTGCAATTTAGTTTCTGGTGTTTTTTAAACCCTGAAGCATGTCCCGGGTCAATTTGACCCGACTTTACCAAATGTTGCGAAAGTAACATAACCAAGGGTTATAAAATGTTCTTTGTGTAGCGTTAAAACCCGTTAAAAACCCGTTAAACCGTTAAACCCGTGAAAACCCTATAGTTTGTCCAGATCACATTCGTTTTTTTTCTCACCGTTTTTATGCGTTTTCTTAAGACTGTAAAAAGAGTCCCTCTGCCGCTACATTTTAAGGCCGGTGATTTTATTTTGAAGAGTAACGCCGGAGAAAGAAGGGGCAGGTGTGTGGTTTCCAGAGGAAGGAGCGTGTTGGTGGTCTTGTTCTTCATTCATAACACTCCGTTCAATAGTCATCTCTATGGGATGCGCCCATCGCGGAGCAAAACGACGCATCAATCTCATTACGCCAATCCTGATTGGCTGGTGATTCTTGACGTCAGCGTCAGGGAATCCACCCCCTATTAAGGTAGGCTCGCGCCACGTCGCAGCGTCATTCAAACACCTCTTCTCGCCTTCAGAGCAATCTCGATATATCAGTAGCCGGGCTAGCTGTAACAGTTCCACAGACTGAAATCCCAAAGCTAATTTTCGCTCGACGGGCGCTCGCCGGCTACTTTGTCTGCTTTCGCAAGAAGACTGTTTAATACTAACACCACCAGTTAGTATTGCAATCTACCTCGCCGTTTCTTCTCGGAAATAAAGTTAGGTTTGATTTTTCAAAGCTGAGTAACACACCTGTTAATAGCTTGCCTTCCCTTCACTACGACACCACTGTAGCGAGGACGTTTTCTTTTCTCTCTCACACCAGAGGAGAAGAAGATAAAAAAGGTATTAACACCACCATAATATTCTTTGAGATAAAAACTACACCGCCGTTTTTTCTCCGGGATTAACGACAGGCTGGGAAAAGATTTTTTGTTTTCTCGCAACTTTACCTGTTACGACGGCCTCTCACGCCTTCATCGACGGCGAACAAGATGGACACTTCTCTCCTCTTACACCCTGCGGCTGCGGGTCTGAAGATATCAGGCACAGACTCACACCGGTGCTGCTTGTCCTGCCTCGGGCCTTGGATACACCCCAGGTAGGCATATCGACAACCCCGGCCTCGTGCGGGCACTTGGGCCCCCTTCACCGGGGCTAAGCACGCCAAGCTATCTTGTGGACAGGACCCCTCATGTCCGCTGATTCGCCGGCTGGCAACAAGACACGGGGGCGTCCGACACAGAGATTTGAGCCCCGCACTGTTGTCGGTCTGGGTCAAAAACAGCGGCAGCTGCAGAACCGGAGTCCCACGCCGTTTCAGTGGGGACCCGGTGGCGGCAAGAGATGCTGAGAGGGAGCCCCGCGCTGTATCTCAAACCAAGCTGGGGCTCCCGGCTGGACCTCACCATAGGTCTCGCACCAGCAAGGAAGATAGAAACAACATGGAGTTGGAATATATGGAGGCAAAAATTGAAGAGGATTGCCTACATAGAGAATACACATCACTGTAACACGAACTTGGATGAACAGAAAGATGAAAAAAATTATCTTCGTGTCGTCGGCTCAGAAAGCTGCAAAGCCGGAGCGGATGGTCTGCATACATACAGCGATAGCGCACCAGGCTAATCGCCCTGTCTGGAGCATGGACCTGCAGCCCGTAGATAAGATCAAAACGCGACACAGACAAAAGGTACACAAGGCTGGACATGGTCTCAGCCACGTGCGGCTGGATAGACTGAGCTGGCCAAGAGCAGGTGACTCAGCCAGGCCGCATAATGCTCGCTGTCACGAGCCACGAGAGGTGTGGATACGACTGTTGCCCCAAGCACTCCTGGGCGTGTTCCAGCCCGAGGCAGGACAAGCAGACCTGGTGTGAGTCTGTGCGGCATGGGATACTCATTACAGAGCAGCTCAACCGAGCAGCCGCAGTGGCTTGGTTACACGGAGGGGAGTGGTGGACATAGAGGATCGACCATCTTTGGGTCGCTCGTGGTTTGTACAAGGCGTGGATGAGGAGAACGGACCTTTCCCCAGTGCTTGTGGTACCTCCGGTAGTGCTGAGAAAAAAAAAATATCTTTCCAAGCGCTGTCGGTGCGTTA